CCCATCACAAATGTGCTCCTTGATGATCTTCTCAAAGAGTTTCCCCAGGATTGAGGTAAGACTGACGGGCCTATAGTTGCCCGGGTCCTCCCTCTTCCCCTTCTTGAAGATGGGGACCACATTTGCTACCTTCCAATCATCTGGCACCTGGCCCAAGCACCACAATCGCTCATAGAGCCGTGCCAGGGGCTCTGCAATAACCCCAGCTAGCTCCCTCAACACTTGTTGACTCACCAAAGCTAATTCAGGGTGATGCTGTACAGTCTGCATAACAATCCAAGAGATCAACTTCTGGTAGGCATGAAGTAAGACTGACTTGAAAAGGTCCCTTCTATATGGGGTGCTGCTGCTCTAAGGTTAGCTGGGCCCTGTCTGCTGTGTTCTGGAGCTGGAGGAACCCCTACTGCTCTCTCTACAGAAACAAGCAGAAAAGCAGGGTAGAGTTGCACCATATAAATGAACTAATTCAGAGATGCATAACATTTCACAAGCAACAGCTCACTTCATGTGATGCCACACAAACATCTCACAAGGCAAGCTGTTGATTATGAAAGCTTACACATCCCTGAATTAGGTAGTCTTTAAGATGCAACTCTGCCAAGCCTTCTGCCTGACTTCAGATTAACATAGTTAAATACCTCTCTGCATAGATGAGGCTGTGCTGTACCTGGCCCTAACTCATTTTTCCCCCGGAACCCAGACTGGGTTCTCTCCCCAGCACTAGCAGCAGACTGCCCATAAACCACAGTTCAGACAATGACACCTCTGCTGTCTGTTCCTATCAACTGGACCCATTACTCAGACTCAGCCAAACACATTATCTGTTAAACTGAGCATATGGGGGAGAGGATAGCTGCACAAAGCCCAACCAACACACGTGTGTGGGAGAAGCCAGCCTGAAAGAGTTTCTTCATGATATCCTAGCGTTATTTACAGTAATGCTGCTCCCCCCACAGACACAGCATTGTCCCCGCTTGACAAACAACACATCACGCTGGGAGTGTGGGGAATTGAACAATGAGACAGCTGCACGTGACCGGGGCCATGGGGAACGTCATCCACCCAAGAGCCTAGACTCTGCAGCCAGCTGGCGCACTTAGCAGCCTTCAGGCACAGAGGGTGCCACTGTTCATACTGGGGTTTCACAAACCCTCAAAACTCTGCTCATCAATACAAACCATCCCAAGTGCAATTGGTATCAACTCCCAACCTCCTACAGGCTAGCAGCTAACCAGGGGGAGGCTGCCCCTTCACTCTGACTTCCAGTGCCAAAGAAAAGGTACCATCTGAAGACATCCTGCTCTGGCCTAGCCCTTCTACATGCAAACACACAATGGCAAAGGAACTGCATAAAAAACACTGGGGGAAGCCAGCACTCCCAGGGCAGAGCCAGCACATGGTCTGCCCACAGCACTCAACCAGCAGAGCAGGGCAGCAAGAAACACAGCAGGCCACTACTCCACCAGGGCGGCTGCAAAGGGGCAAGAGAAGGCAGCTTTTAAACTCAAACTCGTTGCTTACTCCGCACCTCATGGCCGCCTACTGCACCAATCCCGCAAAAGGAGGCAGAGCTGCAGGAGATCCCTGCAGGTGCCTGATGCCAGGAACAGGGGAGCAGCACGCCGCCGAAGGGCCGGCAGGGAGTTCAGGGGCTCACCCCGGGCACCAGAGCACCCCGAGGTAGCAAGTAGAGCTCTGCTGCCCCGCGCTGCCAGCGGGGCTCGCGGGCACCAGAAGGACATGTATAGCTGCCCAGGACCCGGGGCCACCCAGGACTGCCACCTAGTGCAGTAGATGGGGGTCTCCCCACGGTAACGCGGCAGCCACGTGGGCGGGGCCGACGGGGGGCGCTGCTGTGGCAGCGGAGCAACCCCGAGCGCCGGCGCCGCCACGTAGAGCCCCTCCCCCGGTGCCACGTGTCGGCCGCGGCCCAG